TTGCATGTTGTAGCATAAAGGCAGGGGAAATTACATTTACACACAGATATGAAATGCTTACATTGGCCATTTAAATCCCCCTTTTGCAAACACGACTACACCACAGTATTGTACACAGAGACATAAAGAGTATATAGGTTCTCTTAATACAAATGGCACAATAGTGGCAGTTAATATGCATGTATGTATCCTGTGCTGTTCCAAGCACACACACGTGCACACCGCAGGCCTCCTCTTTATCAGCGCTGCTCACATTGGCACCGACACATGCATTGCCAAGACTGCCAGGCCGCGGCCATGCTAATGCAGCCCGTTAGTCTAACAAAAGCTCAGGTCAATGGAGCCTCCAGTGGCTAATTGCTTCAGAGAGATAAGTGAATTTGACGACGCAGCAAGGAAGGGCTCAGCGAGAGGAAGCAGCGAGGGAGGAGATGTTAATGAGTCCCCCGCTCACTCCACCGTCAATATCGGCCCGTCGCAGGCCTGCCACAAAATGAATATTAAAGGCACTTTTGATTGTTTGCCGGGTTTTTTTGTTTGGTTTCATTGCATTTTAATGGGCTGTGTTGTGGTGTTTTTGTCACATATTCTATGCTGGGTAAGAGAGTGGAGCTAATGCAATTAATCCCCACATCACCACCTGACGGCTAACCAGCCAATAATTTCACGTGACCATGTTGCACTAATCCAACACACTGCACCAGAATACTGAGTGAAGAAGGCCACTGTGTAGCCTACTCGATTGAGATGAGTGATGGTAAAAGTTCTCGATGCAATTATATGGGGTTTTAATCGTGTATTTTTGAGAGCTTTTGAGCACAGATTTTTAGTAATTATGTCACAGTTATTGCGCTAAATAGATGTGATCTGTAGAAGGAAAGATTTTTGGCTTGAGTTGATTTGTTCTTTCTGAAGTGACAGTGACATGCCCATGCAGCTGCTGCGACCCGGCACTGTTAACACCGATCAGATCGTCTTCATTAGCTAATCTCCCTCTGATTTACATTATATCAATGTCAGTTTCAGACAGCAGGAGGTGGAGCCCGTTTCCTCTACAATGGCATAACGCTCTCTTTTCCTCCAGCTGACTCAAGTTGTCACACATCTTCCCCCCTCTGACAGTCACTTCATCTGAAGATTACCATTCTCACTGAACATGAATCCTGAACTCATATTTCCCGGATATGGCTGGAGGCTAATACAAATTGGACTTGACAAAAGATGATGCATAAGCAAAGACAATGATGTTTCATCCCTTTATTTCTTCCTCTCTAGGTACCCATTGTGTGAATTGCCGACGAGGGCGGACTATTGGAGGCGTTTGGTTTGACGATTGCAAGTAGCCTCTCAGGAGCCACCCAGACTTCACGCATAAACAAAGACACTTAAAATACTCTTCACACGCTCCATCTCTCTCAAACAGTATACCTCTCTATTTTGGGTTTTTCTTTAAGGTATCAGCGTTCCTCTGTTTCCTTTCTCTCAGAAACTGCCAATCCTCTGAGCATCTTTTTCTGCAGTCATGTCCTCCGCTGTTTATTTGCCTCTGGTCCTGGCCTCTGGGGGACCACCAGTTGCTTACCTGTGGAGATGAAAGCAACCAGTCTCCATGGGACATTTGGGAGGTTAGACCCCCACCGACATATTAAAGACACATCCACTTCGAGTTAAAAAGCAAGGAGAATGTGTCTGTAAGCACGGTCGTGCTTACAGACACATTCTCCTTGCTTTTTAACTGTAAATATACTACTTACTTACTAATAGCCTACTAAATACTTGAAATATACTAAATACTTTAAATATACTTTAAATATACTTTAAATATACTGTAAATATACTACTTAGGCTACTTACTAATACTACATTCTTGAAATATACTAAATACTTGAAATATACTTTAAATAGGCCTATACTGTAAATATACTACTTACTTACTAATACTAAATACTTTATAAATATAGGCTACTTGTATATTTATGTCCTCATTTCTGAAGCCAGCTCGTAACAATAATCTTAAATGTGGATTTAGTGTTGTTGTTGTTTTTTTTACAAAGAACGTATCTATAGACCCATGGATAGACTCTGATGCCTGTTACATGTTCATGCTATGTAAAAACTCATTAAAGGTGAATATGGTAATATAAAATCCCTCCAAGATACCTTGGGGCCTCTTAGCCGGTTCAGTTGTCTCCCTTCTCGTAAATTGGCAAAAAACGGCCGGTGCAGAATGCAGCAGCTGTAAATATATGTACGATGCACTTTGCAGACTCTCTTGTTAAATAGCGGTGACCCGAGACGAGCTGTGAATCTGTCTGTTGCGAGTCCTCTCCGTCCGAGGGTGGATCTGCAGCGTCAAACCCCAGCCACCAGGGAGCAGCGCGGCGCAAATTGTCCTCAAATATTGATTCTGCTGCAGAGAGCCGAATGGGGGAGGGGGGGGACAAGGCGCCAGACTCATCTACAGAACACCAAACCTCTGGGAGAAAGAGATGGAAAGAGAGAGGAAGAAAGGTGAGGGAGGAGGCAGAGAGAGGGAGGCAAGGAAACAGCCCTCTATGGTTTAATGCTGCACAGCTCCGGAGACATCTTGCCTTTCTCTGCTGATTCCTATTATCCCTTATTAGTAGAGGTGTGGGTGGATGGGAGGTTTGTGAAAGTTATTGTCTATGTAGGTGTGTTTGCAGCAGAACGTCATCCTCTAAATGGACTGTTGTTGTTGCCGAGACACTGCTCAAGGAAACAGGGCATTGTGTTGTGACTGGCCTAACTGCAGTGCTGCACCGTAGGCCTAAAAATATTCCGGGTCAGTGGTCCCGGGAGGAGCCCAGTGCTATCCAGGCCTCTCAGTAATGAGAGAGTGGAGCTGCCTGGTACTAGCCCTGCTGTCCCCCCGCTCCCTCTGGCTCTGAGCTCAGCACTGGAGCTCCCACAGATTTATCATAGAGCACAAAGCAGCATGTTTGAAAGCAGAGGCTCTCACTCACCGAGGAGAAGCCCCCCGACGGGCTAACCCCTGGGCACACTGACCCTATAACACATTCACATATTATCAGAGAGGCAGTTCAAGAATCACTTGCAATTCGATGTGTGTCTACGAGAGAAAAATGGATTTTGGAAAGTGCAAAACGAAGCCCATTGGTTCCAACAGATAAAATGATACAAATATTTTAATTGGGCCATCTAATATATGATATGCAATGTGGCAGAAAGGAAAGCGATGGGAAAAAGGGAGAAAGATTCAAAGACAGGCGTGTGTGAGAGAGAAAATGGACGGAGATAATTGAGAGATTTAAGGGTGTTGTTTAGGGCGCTATGCTATTGTACTCAGTGCAGTAATGATCCAGCCCTGTGGAGGGAAAAAAACATGTTTGCAAAGGGTTGAACCGTCATTATCGACGGCAATTATTTCAGTATATCTCACTGAAGCATTGATGTGGAGGGAGGTCCAGGTCCAATCAATGGGCAATGTGCACACAAAAACATAAAATAAAGATAGTTTAAAAACCTGTTAAGCCCCAAGGTCCCCCTCGGCGGGTCCTTTTTTTTTTTTTTTCACGACACTGTGTCTCAGGGGATCTTAATATTTAAGAACCTATTAATGTGTTATACCAGATTAACGGGAATAATCTCAGCTAACTGAAGATACAAACCATTTTTACCAAAACAAAACACAAGTCTCATAAGAAGCATCTAAATGACCCCTGAGCGAAAAATGCTAACGCACTTTGGCACAGAACTCAAGATAAAAGATACCCTTATTATTTATCGTAGCTGCACATACAAGATATCCGATTAAAGCTGAGGTTCCACAGATTATTTAGGTATATAGTATCATCACTGAGTGATCCGAACTTGCGACAGGGGAAGCAAACACAGACATCACAACACGTACCTTTACGGAGCTTTTACGGGAGATTGTCTCACCGTAGCTGTCAATCTGATCAAAAGACTTGTTCAATGGCATTAAAACGAGAAAAAACGCGGCTGAATCGGTTAATCCATAGGTTGATAATGTTTCTGTGTCATAATTTTTTTAAATTTATAATCCATAATTCCATTTTTATGTAAAGATCGGAGAGTAAAAGTTAGCTGCTAATGGTAGCCACCAGAGTTATCGCAGCCTCCGGTCTTGGCTATGCTGCAGTCTCACACACACACATTACCAAATAAGCAGTATGTGGGAGTTCCTCTCGATTCCATTGGCTCTGACGGTTAGAAAAATATGTCAATCAGCAAAATCGAGCAAGGCGGGCCAGAGATAGGTCAAATCCACCCAAATGACCCCAGAAGTGGGTTTTTTTGTGCTAAATCTCTCTAAAAAGGTCAAATTTCACTTGTTTTGTATCAATCTTGATACAGGGTACTTATTATATGTTGTAGTTTGGATTCCTAAAGCTTTTAGTCTACCATAAGTAATTTTTTTTGTTGGATGGACACAATCATTTACATTTTTGTACTGTGTTCAATCTGAATTTACTTTAAAATAAAAACATCTATATTGATTCTGACACTTCTACATCCAACTCACAGGTGTAACCTTGCTTTGAGAAAAAAGATTATTAATTTAAGCCTTTTAGAAGGGAAGATATGGTCATTTGTTCTGGGAATGTCATTTTCGAGCCTGAGACCTGAAAAACAGGCTCGGGGCTTAACAGGTTAAAAAGACCCCTATTCATACCTTTGTTGTGTATTTAAGAACCTGCACTTTTGGGAGAAAGAAAGCACTCCTAACAAAGAGAAATAACAACATAAAGACAACTCGTCCTTCTTGTTTCAACATTTTATGGGCCTCCTTTTTAACAGTTAACATAAGAGATGTCACAGACTGAATATAATAGATCAAAGATATATAACTTTGAAGGCGGAGCTTGGAAATGCTTCTGGGCAAAAGTGAGACGGATGAATCACGCTTTCCTAGTTCATATTGTACCAAGCTGCATGTAAATGAGGCTCCATAGTCGCAGCCATTTTTAACCAATAACTACTCAGGAATAATGGGGCAAGATATATACTTTATATTTATCTACTTCAACTGTCAGACATTTTACAAAATGCTCACCTTCAATTTCATGTGACATCCACAGCAAAAGATGGGAGATATCTAGAAAAACAAAACATTCCCAAATGGTTTTCAACTAGTGCAAATATCTTACATGAATTTGTAATATGTTGTTATGATCCTACACTGCAATTCCTAATTAGAACTGCAAAATGACTCCCGCAAAACAGTCTTTATGGTAGTCACTTGACCCACAAGAGCAATTTGATGCTAATTTGCTATTTACTAGTTATGAGCTGCTCTCTCTCTAATTTCTCCCAAATCATCTCCACTGTCTCCAGTAAAAGACATTAGCAACACGTCTGGAGCGTATCCAGCAGCACTCAGAGCACAGCTTTCACTTCTCATGTCTCACTCATCCATAAATGCTTTGTTGAAATATATACTTTGAAAAGCTTTATCGCCCTTTTTTTATCAGTCCACATTTTGTCCATTACTGGAAAATAAGAGTCCATTTGTGTCCAGATTTACCCTGGGTGTCCATGATTGTAGTCCATTGGTCTCGACAAGCAGCATACTGCTGTGTGTGGCTCCATGTGTACATTGTTTGTGATGAGTACATTTTATCCCATTGTTATGTGATGGATGGTCTGACGGTTGCCCTTTCCTTGATATGTTCCCCATCGTACAGTAAATGTGTGTGAGTCATCCATCCTTTCCACATGGAGAGTTTCAGGTTTCCTCGTGGCTCTGCGGCTCTCTTGCTATCGTGTGACCTAAAAAAAAAAACAATACCGCAGATAAGAGAGGAGGATCAGTGTCAGTGAGACATGTAATTACACAGAGTGACTTCGTCCTTCCTGAATGAATGTTTCCTTTAGGAAGAGTCAATCAGAGGTCAGGAGAATATTCAACATAAAACTATTTTCCTCTCCATTTGTTGTCTCTGTGTCATTTTCATTCCATTTAAATTGTTTGTTTGCAGTCTGGCCGGCTGACTGATTGCCAGGAGTAACTGTCGCAACAGAAGCTGGATTTCACATGTCTCCGAGCTGTAATGGTGTGTTTACACTTAGTCTGGAAGGCGTATAATTGAAGATGTACAGAGCTTGTTTACCGTCAACAAACCTCATCCAGTGTGAATTCATAATAAAGACACATACAGAAAATACAGTTTTAGTCTTGATAATATTCTGAATGTTTTTCCATTGAGCCAAAAATATGAAGCTTTCTCTTTCTTTAACAGTGCTCTGGTTTCTCAGTCAGGCAATCTATGCATGGTTCCATAGCACACCTACGCTGTGTGGGAGTGAAAGAGATGAACGGACACAGATCATCACGGTGAATAGGAGGCTGAGATGGTAAAAGGAGGTCATGGGTACAAAAGAGAGACGCAGGATAAAGGAGACAGACACAGAGGGAGCAGGAGAGCAGGGCCATGCAGTTGCCAGGGAATCGAAGGCTCATTGCAAACATCTTCAGTGACATCTGCCATCAAGTCTCCAAGTAACTGCTCCCCGGTCCCAAAGCACCTTGCAAATTCACAATTATTGTCCACCGACGTAGTCCGCCATCGGCTCCTTTTTTTTCTCGTAGCTGATCGGCTAGTCAGAGAGAGTGGGTGAGACAAAACAGAAAGAAAGGGTATAAGAAGAAGAAAGAAAAAAAAGATGGAGGAGAAGAAGAAGAAGACATGATGCAACAGAATGGGGATAATTGCACCTACGGGTCCCAGAGTTGGTGTTAGACCCAGGGTCATTAATTGCAGTGCCTGTGACGGAGCCTCTGTTCCTCAGTCTACCCCACTCACCAATTTAATTATGACTCTTAATTGTTAGGCCCCTGTGGAAGGCCCCCGCCATCATGCATTCTAATGAATGCGACAGATGTTGTGCTGTTATACCATCTCTCGAGTAATTACTCTTATGGCGTTTGCGATGCTTCCTCCTCAATTGTTTCTTTTTTTTATACTTCACCTGTAAATAAACTGCACCTGTTCCATCCCACAACAGAGCACTCTGGCATGCGCATACACACACACACACACACACACACACACACACACACAAACACACGGGTCGTCAGTCCCGCAAATTAACTTTCACACATCAACAGCTTACAAAGGGCCATGAAGGACTCTCATTTAAATCAATTTATCTCGTCTGAATAGCATCAGTTTACATGGCATCACACAGTGGCCGTCTGTGGTGCAGAGGGTACGGGGGTCCTGTGTTTCCTCCATTAGCTTTTTCTCACCCCCGCCCGAGGAGATACATTTACAGCAGATTAACTAAAACGTCTCTATGGGCAGAGCTTGCTCTGATTAGCTCTGTATCGGTTTCATTGTAATTTGTTGTTTATGTTTGAAATTAGTGTTAGAAGTGGATGACAATCATTTGTGGACATGTTGAAGATGGAAACAACCTTCCTTTATGAGATTATCTTTGAATGACTTTGTATGCACCTCTGAGTTTTCCCTTTTCAAATGCAGTCATTTTTAATAAGCGATGCGAGGCATCCAGTTGAAAGTTTGTTTACCGTCCTTATTGACGCACCATGTTTCAAAGGAAAGAAAAAATCAATTAAATTGAAGATGAAGGTCAGTTTGAGCTACATCAAATATTAGTGACGTTAAAGGGAGTGTTTTATAATACTCATATTATAACTTTAGAACACAACATATTGCAGGTAGGATGGAGGGAAAACGTATCAAGCGACCACAACAACTTTAAACAGGTAGTAAGCAGAAGTACCAATGGTGACAGTTTAAATGAAGAGCTGTAAGGCAAGTCAAGTTTATTTATAAAGGTAGTTCATAAGTGTTCATGGTTAGAATATGTAATGTAATGTGGTTGTAGTAGTGAGCTAAAAGTACTGTCAAACAATTGGATTCAAGTCATACAGAAAGACTTTAAATAGTTTAAAATATTGGTTAAAGAAATCGAAATATAAGTAGCTAAAGGTAGGCTAATGTAATTGATACACGGTGAACCAATTTAGCAAAGAGTATTGTCCAAATGTTTGAAATAGTTAGCTTAAAGTGGGTTACAGTAGTTGATTGTTGGTTGATAGCGGTTGCTAAGAGTAGGCTCAAGTTAGTTGAAAAACAGTTGAAAGAAACTAGCTCAGATTATTGAAAGAAATTGCTGAAATAGCTAGCTAAGATTTGACAACATTAACATGAACATTAACTGATAAACTATTCAAATATTTGTCAAAAAGTAACTGTTAATATACATTTTAACAGTTTGCTTGAAGTTATGAAATACCTGGTTTCCTTATAGTTTTAGTAGTAGTAGTATTTCATGACCAAACAAACCTAAATATTCACCGTTACATTGTAAGGAATTACTTAACATTATCCGTTGATATGATGAATGATCATCTATGAAGGGGAATATGAATACATCTGACAGTGCTTTGGGGTACCTTTGGATCAACTTGGTTAATAACCACTGACTTAAACAAATGGAGGTAAAGAGAGACACAAGCAAGAAGGCCCAAACTTACATATGCATAAAAAATACAAACAAACACAGGTGTTTCTCTCACCTTGGTGGTTTTGACTTTGTTGCCGGTGCTGCAGGACCAGCCAGTCAGGTCAGGCAGGACTTTACACTCCTCTCCGTCCATACAGGGATGCATCTGGCACCACCACTTCTGGGCCACAATGGAGGCTAGAGCCGGAAAAGAAAGAGAGCCAGTGATGATGAACAACTCTGAATTAATGGCAAAAGATTCAAGATTCAAAGGTTTTATTATCATATAAGGCTACAGTGTAGAAATGGCAATGAAAATCTTATGACCTGAGCTCCTCCAACTATCCAACATATATAATAAAATACAAAAATACAATACGGCAATAATAGGGTGGCATTTGCAACAAAAACACACCAACCATTACCTCCTCAATAACTCAAACATACTGTACTGTAATAGACCTAACACATTGTTATAGCTCAAAATAACGACGCCCACAGCGTCGTTTCACGATGGAAATGCCATGAGCGCTGTCCATGGAGCTGATCCTGCAGCTGGGACTTCAGTGGGATCAGCTCCATGGGCAGCACCTGTGACACATACTGTCGTAATGTTTGAACCACAGTCTCTCTGAGCAGTTGTGTGTTTTTTCATCTATAATATGATTACTGCGAAAAGCTTAAATGTGTAGCTGTTACCTTTTTTTCATTTTAATCAGATTAATTTAATCCCTCAACATGGGATTTTAAGGCCTGTGAAAGGGGTAAATCTGGCAGCCGCAGGGGAAAGAATGAAAAACATATAACTGAGCGGATATATGAGATAAGATGTTTCTGTCGTAGCTAGGAAGCAATGACTAATACAAGTCCTTCGACTATACTGGATACAGCCGGAAAGATGTGCTGTATTTGTGCTGATATTGAAGATTGAGAGATTAATTTGGGCGCTTTCGCAGATGTATGAAGGACTTTTTATCATTTAAATGAAATTACAGCTTTTATTGCCTAACTTCCATTTTGTTTCTCGTATAATCAGCTAAACACAAAGCACATTTAGACAATTAGCCAAAGAGTATTATTCCAATTGCATAATACAGAGAGTAAGAACGGGATTAGGATGAAGCAATGCTATCAAATAAAACAGTCTTCTCTGGAGTATTTGAGACAAGAGTTGCTCATTTCTACTTACTGTTTAACTTTTGCAGGCTTTAAACTCCTTTCTGAAACTTAAATATCATACACTCTGTTCAATTGAAGATAAGAAAAGGCTCCTCTGTTCTTCTGATGATTTGCTACATATCTATGAGCAAAAAGTTGAATTGAACACGGTTTCAGGACTTGGCCTGATATAGTTAATCCTGTGTTGAATCCCAAAGTTTTCTCATGTTTAAGCAGCTGACACTCAAATCTTCCGGATCATCTGACCCAGTGTCTAGACAGGAGACAGCCTGACAGCTGAGAATAACTCAATTGCCTCTCTCCTAACTCAGCACCCAGCCATGCGCTTGTCTCAGGTGGGACGCAGGGACGGATGAAAGGAGTGCACCCCATATGTCCATTTACTTCATTAAACTAGTGGATTGATGTCGTTTAGAAAGTTATTTTGATCTCTAGTGACTATTGTTTCCAACTATGGAAGGAGATGAGATGGTTTTGGCAGAAAAGTTTGCTTTCATCTGCATAATGAAAAAGAACATGGGCAGATCCTCTCAAGCATCACGTCGGAAGAAAACACTGAGGCAAGAGGGGGAAGGAAGGAGACAAGGCTCAATAACATGTGTTCACCGAAAATATATCTCCGTAGTGTTGATATGAGCAGCGAGGGGAAGTGAGAGAGGCAGAGAATGAAGGGTGGGGAGGATCGGCGCTGTTTGACGATGACTATCAGCGAGTCCAACAGGGAAAGGAACAGATTAAACTAATAGAACAGAGAGAAGGTGAGTAACAATTTGAAGCAGAGTGGAAAATAAGCAGCAACAACGGAGAAAAGGAAGACAAGCAGGGGAGAAAATGGAAGCCAAATTACCAAGTCAACACAAAAAAAAATTCTCAGCTATCATGGGGCGTAGTGTAGAACACGCTGTTATGATGCATGAGCTCAGTGGCAGTAAGCGGTTCTAAAAACCAATGGCTGTGTAATGCTCGTTAATGTGGCCATTATGGTGTCGACGACGGTGCTTTGCACGGCAAGAGTGTTATTTAGAGCTAATGGCCATGGCCTCTAAGTGCTATTATGGAGTTAGCGTTCGCTGCAGCTTATCTCATGCTGCACTGGAAGGGAGGGCGGGGCGAAGCGACACAGAAGTGACACAGAAGCACCTGTCTGTCCATGACAGGAAATGCACAGGAGCCGGTACGAGGCTTGTGGTGTCATGGATAGTTCAGATGTTAGACAGCACTCACAGACGAGTCTCAACAGGTCAATGATAAAGAGATTACAGAGGTACTTAGTGTGCAGTATTTCATTCTGAGATCTTCACGTCTTTTCTCTGACGCCCTAGTATCTGTAGACTGATACTTCCCTACAAGTTAAAGTCCTGCATTCAAAACCTCACCTAAAGATGTCATGCTCATTTTGAGTTCACACTTGCATTTTGGGTTTCTATTAACACAGATTTTCTCATAATGTCTGTCTAAATATACCTGTTTTTAACCTTTTTCTGAAACGCCCAGTTTTAAAGAGTCTGCTCATTTTAGTCACTTGTTCCATGTCTTCTGCATCTTCGCTTGCAGTGTCGCTTCTTAGTCATTGCCATTGGGGAATGCCGTTCATTTATCAGCACGTCATATTTAGTTTGTTCATTCATACAAAACCAAGGTGTTGAAATGAGCCTTTTGGGGTTCACCTGACACACATCCTCGGTTAAACCACAACCTCCTGTTTCTACACTTTTCTTTGTACGAGTCAACCAACTATATGTAGCGTGTATGAAGAGAGCTTAAGGGACATTGTTATCTTTGGACAGAACGAGCTGTGTCTCACTGTGTCTGGTATTTATGCTAACCAATGCTATAAGCTATAAACCAACTCGTATTTCCCAAAATGTAGAATATTTAATTCATCAATTGACTGCTCCATCTCACCAACACTTTGTCATGATTCATATAGCCTTCTCAACTTGTTTAATATTCACAGTCACATTCGCTTTTTTAAAATGATTGATCTAAGTAGACATTGACGGATCAACACTCTCCATGAAATGTCCACTTAAACACTCAACAAGCTAAAAAAGCCGTTGCCAGGTTCTTGAAATAGAAAGATATTCTCCAAGAAAAAGAAGTGTATAAGTACCTCTCAGCCTACTCTAATTGCATCAGTCTCATTAAGATTCTACATTTATATTCACCAAAGGTACAAATGCTAATTAAAAACAGGTTTACCGCTGAGGCGTACATTTCATCACAGTTATCAGCTCATTACAATAGAATCTGCGCTCGAAATGACTCTCTTTTAAGTTTTCTCGCAAAGTTTCAGAGCGGGATCAGCTCAGGGCGAACGTCTAGACAGTGCTTTGCTAAAGTGCAGGTGATGAGAGAACACAAGGGGGACTGGGGCTGATTCCCCAGGTCGCTGTCTGATCTCTGGGGTTCTCTAAATAGGTTCTGCAGAGGTTTCACGCCACAGGGCGTTCCTCCTACTGAGAGCGTCAATCCAACACACCCGTGATAAATGTCATTCATTGTGATGCCTGTTGCGGTCACAGATTTTATTTGTGTGTGTGTGTGTGTGTGTGGTGTGTGTGTGTGTGTGTGTGTGTGTGTGTGTGTGTGTGTGTGTGTGTGTGTGTGTGTGTGTGTGTGTGTGTGTGTGTGGGTGTGTGTGTGTGTGTGTGTGTGTGTGTGTGTGTGTGTGAGAAGATGTCAGTCGGATCACCCGAGCTCAGCCTCTGAATTGTCATTGTAATGTTTGTGACATCAAGTGGACAAAGTTGAGATTGCAGGTCCACTCATCCTCATGTTCAACCTGTCGACTTTAAATGAATACATGATTTATGCAACGAGGATCCTGTGACCAAGTATTAGCCAAGTTAGTATTTTTCTTTTCTGTATGCAATGCTTTGTTTTTAGCACTTTAAGTGATCTGATCCACTGCTTATTCTTCCCCCCATGCAAGCACATTGAAGTTAATATTAAGCATTTCTTTAGGAGGGTTCATGCTAAAATAACATTAGTATTCTCTTGGGAAAACAAAGACCATACTTTAATCAATCTGGTCTATCTCACACTTTGTCAATGATAATATTTTAATCGAGAGATATCCTTTTCAAAAACAGAGAAAAGCATTTTTTTAAATATGTATTTAAATTATTTATGGTGTAATTAAAAATCTCTAGTTTGCAAAATGGTTTAAAAAAACAACAATATTTAGGATATTGATATATTTTATTAAAACAACCTAACACTTGTTTGATTGACCTTCCCTGGATTGCACACACAAAATCATTGTTCATGAAAGAAAGATAATGGTTTCAGTAAAAATACCCTTTTTTAAAAACACACTAAGGCAGGAAACGTGACGTCAGATCAACCGACTCGCTGTTCCATCCAACAAAGACACAGAAAGCGTATCTCATCTGATGTAATTGAACGCACCACCTACTACGCTGCAGTTCAAAGGGAAACCCTTCACCTCTCGCCCTTTCATGTTAACCCACATGATAAAGAATATTACATGAGCCTTTGATATATATAACAAAAAAACGAATTCACTGACTGCATATCACATTGTATCATTCAGATGTAGCCTGTTTGATGTAAGGAGGGCGCACTAATACAATATGTGCACTCAGGCGTGCGTCTGTTAGAGTGCCCATTAATACTTCACGAAGGCTCCACCTGAACTCACTCTATGGAGCAGCTTAAAGCGTGATAAGGAGTATACTTTTGCTTTGCATCTGTGTGAGTGTGTGTGTGAGTGTGTGTGTGTGTGTGTGTGTGTGTGTGTGTGTGTGTGTGTGTGTGTGTGTGTGTGTGTGTGTGTGTGTGTGTGTGTGTGTGTGTGTGTGTACATGAATGCAGTCCCCGAAGTGTCAGGCAAAGGAGCACAATCACAAGAAGTCCCATGCCCTTGCTCCCAGGTCATTATTATTTAAAGGGAATATGATGAACGTAAACACACACACGTACACACATGCACACACACGGCACGCACACAAACACACACACACACACACACACACACGTACACACACGCACAC